AAGCAGGATCCAAGCGCTGCTGGATAGAAAAACTGGAGCGGAGTCAGTGAACTGCTGGAACGGACTGCTAATATCGGAGCGCTKATATCGGACATTTTTTATGCAGTCCGATAAAATCCGATACTCGTTTTTTGGCTGATATCGGACCGATATCCGATATTGATATCGGATCGGGACACCCCTAGATATTACTGTTTAATATATAATAATCACAATATTTTAGGTAGCTGTAGTAATAGCATTTGATTTCCCCACTTTTATTGTGAAAAAAATGTGGAATTTTTTGCTCAACATTACCAGATAATGGACATACTGGTCCATCCCTAAAAATAACCAATTTTGCCTTGAAGACATTATAATTTTGTCCTAATTATTCTCTGAAACCTGCTTCACATTTCAGGGTCTGCCTGCTGTTTCCATATGTAACCCTGTCAGAGCTCTGCCCCCATAACAGCTGCCCGGTCCGAGTCAGCAGGTCTAAACAGATACCACCCCCCCCCCCCACACACACACACACACACACACTGTTTTGGTGTCTTCTCAGGACACCACAGCTGTAGGAGCATTACACACATCTCTGCTGTCCAGCTGAAAGCAGCAGATGGGCTGCAGCTGCACATCTGTAGAGCACAGTCAGAAGTTGCCTCTGGCAGCTGGAGCTAAATGAGGTGTGTTGTGACCCAAAGCTCTGTGCTTTTAATTCTTCAGACCCTCAGAAAGGTGTTGACAAGTGACGGGGGGAAAATAGCGTTTTGTCCAGAAGTGCCAGGCGTTGCTGCTGCCTTTGAGACAAATGGACCGACTCCAAAATGAGCCGGTCGCCCTCCTGTTGTCCTCGGGTCAAAATGACTCAAGGCCTCAGTTTTTAAACTGGGTCATTTTGGCCCAAAGGCAGGAGGAGGGTTAAGGCTTGAACAGACAGAATTATTGGTAAAAGCTAAATGTAAGATGTAAAATCTAGAATGCAGGTCGCCTGCTGGCTTTCATATCAGAGTTTGAGACTAAAATCATCTTGTGCTGGAAAATGACAAGACCTCATGCATGATTTCATGACAGGAACACAAGCACACAGACACGGGCAAAACCAATATCCACATAGTAAAACTTGTTTGGCCCAGTTCTGGCCCACACAAGGCACTAACACTCTATCACATGACCCAGATACCGCAAAGATGGCCCAGATGTGGTTTGCCAACTGGTTCATGCATGGGCCAGCACTAGTGCTGTCCCGATTAGTCGACGTCACCGGTTACGTCGGCTGCATAAATACGTCGACACACACAACATACCGTCGACACGTCGTTTTAGGTGAATACGTCAAAAGAGGAGCAGGCAAAGAAAATGGCGACACCCGGTCCGAGCAGTACACGTGAAGAAGACCCCGATGACAGAGTTCAGCCAAGGAAACGTCCAAAGACGTCGAAAGTGTGGAAGTATTTTAAGCTGAAAGAAAAGGGCTTGGTTGGTTGTTCATCCTGCAAAATGGAGTTAGCCTACCATAGTAGCACTACCACAATGAACGAACACCTGAAGCRCAAACATCCTGGTGTTCTGCTCGAAGATGAAGGCAGGAGGAAAAGTGCAGAATCATAAGTCCTGTTGTTATATTGCTTTTTGGCATTAACGTAATATATTAAGAATAATAACATTGGCAGCAACAGTCTCTGTGGTACTTTCTGATTGTTAGCATCGACGTTGTCCTCGTCAGAGAAACTGAAACTTACACACTTCAGGCAGAAATATTTTTATATGCAGTGGGCAGTGTTGCTTTCACAAAAACAAACAAACAAAAAAAAACATTTAGGTGTTTCTTTTCCTCCACTTTCTCCTTGTTTACCGAGGAGTTTGCCATTAAAATCTTGACAACACCGTGATTTATACATCGTTTTATGCCTAAGATTTCCATAAATTATTTTTTAATGGCTGTTGATAAAATTGATAAAAATTGATAAAAAGGGAGATCCAAAATCCTTTCCATAAAAATATTTGCCTCTAATGTGTTAACAAACAGAAGCAAGAA